AAGACGATAGTCGAGAGGGGAAGAAGATAGAGAATACAGAGTTTACTATGGAGCGCTCCGGAAGAGTTTGTGTACAAGGAAAGAATGCGATAAATCAAGAAAGCCAAGCGCTGTGGTCTTCAGTCGGCGGAAGTTGGGATTGGAGGTTGATCAGGACGACGAACACTTACTCGGCATGAAGGATTGTAAGCCTGCTTTATGAACTTCTTAACTTAATCTTTAACCTAAGTAAATTAGACAATGTAAAACTAATTAAATGATAGTTAAAATGGGTAACTGTTTGTGGTTACATTTTTGTTGCGTGCCATATATCGTACTCGGGAGTCTATTTTCATATATGCTTTGTTAGCGGACATTTGTTGGTCATTCGTACACGTAACAACGCTCACCCCCATCTACCCTTCGTTAGCCATGTTACACTCCGTTTACCCCCATCTAGCCTAGGTTAGCCGTTTACCCCTGTCTACTCTAAGTTACCAATGTTCTACCACGTTTACCCCATCTACCACTTGCTATGTTCGCTATGTTCTACCACGTTAACCCTCATCTACCCTATCTTACCCATGTTCTGCCACGTTAACCCTCATTTACCTTAAGTTACCTCTATTACCCTAGGTTAGCCATGTTCTACCACGTTTACCCCTGTCTACCCTAAGTTACCAAATTTACCCCCATCTACCCTTGGTTAACCATGTTCTACCACGTTTACCCCCATCTACCCTAGGTTAGCCATTTTCTACCCCGTTAGCGTTCATCTACTCTAAGTGAGCCATGTTCTACCAAGTTTACCCCCATCTACTTGAAGTTACCCATGTCTACCACGTTTACCCCCATCTACTTCTGGTTAGCCATGTTTTACCAAGTTAACCCTCATCTACCCTATCTTACCACAGTTCTTACCACAGATCTTAATTTAAGTAAATTTTAGACACGGCCTCAATGAAAAGCAGAATTTTTTATTTATTTCTTTTATTTGAATTGTTATTATCAAATTATTATAGTAGTTAGATAGATAGGTTTCTAGTATAGAATTAACTAAATCAACTGATGGAAAAACCGTGTATAAATAGTTATCCTATCCTATCCTACCCACGTTCTACCACGTTAACCTCCATCTACCCTTAGTTACCCATGTTGTACCCGGAATGAACATGAGCACATGTGTGATAGATCCTGGTTAACTTAGTTATGGGTCAAAGTGGTGAAACGTGGCTAACTTCAGGTAGATGAGGGTTAACGTGGTAAAACATGTCTATATCTACCCTGAGATGGCCACGCTTAACCACGTTTATCCCTTTGTTAACCCAGTATCGTCTTCTTGACTCACATATACGTTAAGTTAACCTTATTCTCTCAAGCTTAGGCTCACCTTGTCGGTGCCGTTTAGTTTGTTCCCCCACACATGCTCTGGGTGAGGCACATTTTTTCACGCTCATCCTCACATATTCTGAGGTAAGGCTTTTCTAGATTAAGGAGTAATGGCTTATTAATTATCGAAGCAAAGATGGTGTTTGATACGGTGGAATGTTTTGCTCAAGAAATAAGAATGTGATGGGTTTTACGGCCTTCTCTCAACCTGCTTTGTTGGTGGCTTGCTAGCATTCAAGCATTATATTTTAACTATCAGCAACAAGAGTCTCATTACTTGACATTGAAAAGTAATGTTTGGGGTATTGTCAACAAGATACTCTTGGAACTAGCAAAAATGAAATGCAGTTCATCATTTGATTCGTTATCAGAGATATAGGAGTATAGTTTCCTGGTTAGTTTTTAAGCTGTACTTTATGCATGCTGTTCCCATAGACTTAATCCTTTCTTTTTCACCCTGTAAACCTCCGTCGAGTCTCCCTTTTCAGCGTAACATCGCTCGTTTATGAGAGGGGCTTTGGGATTTTCGGTTTTGTGGTTTTGACTGGAAGTTCTGGATCGGTTTTTCGGTTTTTGGGCCAAGAAGGTTCGGTTTTTCGGTTTTGATGTTCAGAGCGGTTTGCGGATTTTACGTGTTCTTGCCTTCGGTTTTCGGTTTTCTCGAAAACTCTGATGCGGTCTTCGGTTTTTCCTTTTTGACCCCTTTAAAGGTGAAAATGTAGCGGTTTTGTCAGATTTGCATGCGGTTTTCGATTTTGCTGCCTTTTTTCGTCGGTTTTTCGGTTTTGTAGGTTTTTTTCTCCGGTTTTGCGGTTTCCAGAGGCCCCATATGCCCCCTCGTTTATCGTTTTATCGTGTAAAAAGTTCTTGAAGTAATAATGTGCCTTGAGTGTAATAAGTTGCAGGTCATTTGGGATTTGATGGACAATATAAGAAAATCGATTGATAACGCACTTACAAAAGGACTTATTAATTATTTTTTCAGGGAAAAAAAATGCCGTAGCAAAGTGCATTTCGCAAAAGTTTAGATGAGAAACCTCGGGAAAGG